TAGACGTTCAGTCTTACCTTCTCTGCCGTTGAGACATGATTTTCCTTAAATGAAGTGTTCCAGATAAGGTGCCTCTGGCCTAAGAAAGGCCCAGCTTTATGTGGAAGCCTTTGATTTTAAACTTAAGGGAAGACAAGCACTGTCTTCTCATTAAATTGCAAGTCTTGGTGATCTCATAACAGACAAGATTCCTCTGTCTGCCTGCTCTTCCACAGCCCTGGTCACGGAAGGGAGGAAGAGCCAATAAACAGATGTTACTGTAATAAGAAATAGTAGTTGCAGGGTAAAATGGCACAAGTTCGAGCCTGCTTCCCTCACACTTGGTTTGGGGCTGGGGGACAGGGTGAGCGCAGGGCCACACGCCTGCCCGTCTTCTCCCCCAGGGCCTGGGCTGCTGCTCCTCTGCGGCGGGAGTGGTGCCTGGTACCGTGCTTCCCGGTAGTTGGATTTTGGGGCTTTTGCAGACACTTCCTTTTGGGAAAGAGCCTAAAGGGCCTGTGGTTTGGGGGTTTACAGCGCAGAACCCATTACGCTGGTCTTTGTTTTGGGGAGCGTAGGATCTTAGGAAGAGTGGCCAGTGGATGGAGTGCTATGCGCATGCCACTTGGCCACAGGGTCATACAGGGACTATAGTTGCTCTTAAAATAGAAAATATAAGGGGGAGTGGATTGGAATTTTAAAAGTTTTTAAAGACCTTAGTTTTTAGAGCAGTTTTAGGTTTCACAGCAACTGAGAGGAAGTTACAGAGATTTCCCATATATACATGCATCTAACCTTCCCATTTGCAACATCCCCCACCAGAGTGGTACATTTGTTGAACTTGATGAACCAGTATTGATACATTATCATCATTCAAAGTCTGTAGTTTGCAGTAGGGCTCACTCTGGATGTTGTGCACCTTTTGTGCATTTGGACAAATTTTAATGACAAATATCCATCCCTACGGTATTATACAGAGTAGTTTCACTGCCCTAAAAATCCTCCTCCGTGCTCTGCCTGTTGGTCCCCCTTTCCCATTGGACCCCTCCCCCCCCAAAAAAAAATATACTTTTATTGATCTCAGAGAGGAAGAGAGAAATAGAAACCTCAATGATGAAAGAGAATCATTGATCAGCTGATTCCTGCACGCCCTCTACTGGGGATTGAGCCCACAACACAGGCATGTGCCCTGACCAGGAACTGAACTGTGACCTCCTGGTTCGTAGAGTGATGCTTAATCACTGAGCCACTCTAGTCAGGCCTAGTTGGAATTAAAAAAAAAAGGAAAGAAAATTTTATATATATATAATTTAAGTTATTGCAAGTAACATTGGTTAGTAAAGTTAAATGGGTTTCAGGTGCCCAATGGAACTCTTAGGGTAAATTATGAAAGGTGGTGAGCGAGGCATCCTGGAGAGAGAATTGGCACCAGAGCTGGCTGAGCCACCAGATGTGTGCCCTGTTAGCTCTTTGGGCTATTTTCTTTTTGTAAAACCAACTATTTTGTTGAATCAGGCTTGCCTGTCCTTTGAACTCAGGAACATATTAGAATGTAAGTTATATGACTTTATGATAAACATAGTAATTGACTTTTGTTAGAATTTATTTGTTACAAATTTTACCTTTACATACCAAAACCTCAGCTAACACAAGTGCATATATTATTGTAATAAGTACTATATAGTCCAAAAAAGGATGAGAAAACTTAATTTGTGCTTTTTTGTGTAAGCACGGAAATCTTCGGAATGCATAGGAATCACCAGAGACTGGATAAGACAGTCATGGGTTCCTGTGTCACTTACAGAAGCCTCATATTGGGTCTTGTGTGGATGTGAGGCCTGCACATTACAGGTGAAAGGGAGACTGAGCTTGCCTTCCTTCCTAGAAAAGAAAAACTGACACTCTCCCCACAGCCTCTTAGCTAAGAAGTCTCGTCTCTAAAGAAACAAGGACCACTTTGACATCATTAAGATCAAGGAACAAAGCTTCCATGTTGGGTGGAATGAGGAGCGACCGGTCAGGTCACCGGGAGGCCTCTTCCCACCTCGAAGGAGACGGACCTCCGACCGGGCAGCGGAGGACCGTGTCTGGAGAGAGTAGGTGCAGTTCCTGACAGCTTCTCGCCCTGGCCTGTGGGGACTCACACCTGTCCCTCTGGCATTGGGCAAGGATCCTTTGCAGCTTAGATCTGAAGGGATCCACACCCTGTCTGGCAGCCTCCTCCGCCACTAGCCCCATTGTGGTGTTTGCTTCCTGCCACGGAGAGCGATTGGTCTTCTGTCCTGGATGTTCTCTGTCACATACTGTGCTCCTCCTTGGGGCTTTCCATGCCTCTGAATCTGTTTTAGGTTAAACTAAGCAGAAAGAAAAAGTATTCTGATCTCCAGTATTTGTTGGAAGAAAATTTATCTTTTCTAATGAAGAGGGAATATGCTAATTGACTGTCACGCCCCCACAAGATGGTGGTGCCCAGCCCTGCAGGGGAAGGCATTTAGGGGCAATTGGGCCAGCAGGGGAGGGCAGTTGGGGGCAATAGGGCTGGCAGGGGAGGGCAGTTAGGAGTGATCGGGCTGGCAGAAGAGCAGTTAGGTGTCGATCAGGCCGGGAGGGGAGTGGTTTGCAGGTTATCAGGTTGGCAGGCAGAGTGGTTAGGGGCAATCAGGCAGCCAGGCAGGCTAATGGTTAGGAGTCAGCGGTCCCAGATTGGAGAAGGTGCAGGCTGGGCTGAGGGACGACTCCTGGCCGCCCCCGCCCCTACTGTCCCCCCCTCCCCCCCCCACACACACAAAGATTTCATGCACTGGACCTCTAATCTATGTTTAAAAGCCTAAGCGACTAAACCATTGATCCACTGGTCACTATGATGCACACTGACTATCAGGAGGCAGACACTCAATGCAGGAGCTGCCCCTTGGTCAGTGTGCTCCCATAGTGGGAGTGCGGTTCAGTTGACCGACCTGTCCCAGTGGCCCACCTGCCTGTCGGCAGTCACTTCCTCCCTCAGTAGTCCTGCAGATTTAATCCCCAGAGAATGGGCTAGGCACCGATGGACCAGCGCCACCCACCTCCTGGAAGTTGTCCTTGGGCACAGTGGCCACTTCCCTCCCTAGACACTCTGCAAGGAAGAAACCCTATAAAAGCGGCTGCCAGGTGGTTCCCAAGAGCCGATGCGAATGTCAGCAGGATGGGTCGGCCGGCAAGGGCATCCCACCACCATCAGGATGCCCGGCCGGCAAGGGCATCCCACCACCATCGCTGAGGGTCGATCGTGTGCATTGGACCACCCTCCTCGCCGGGATGGGTGCCAGGCGTAGGGCTCATGGCTGGTTAGCGCTGCTATGGGGGCGTGAGCCTCCCCGATCAGGACTGACTGGGTGCGAGCCTGCCGCAGGCACAGCGGGGCTAGGATGAGCGGGAGTGGCAGGTGACCTTGGACTGCTGGTTTCGGCCCAATTCCTGCAGGCCATGCCGAGGGACCCCACTTGTGCTTGAATTTGTGCACTGGGCCTCTAGTGGGAAATGAGGAACAAACAGAACCCCGCTATCATTGTTGGGAAGCCTGGGGCGGGGACTCAGAGTGTGTTCACATGTGCCTTCAGATTCTGTAAAGAATTCCTTTGGTATGTTCTTTGCTTGACTTTTCTGGTTTGTGACAGGAAAGGCAAGTCCAGGAAGTGAAGCTAAGTTTTATTATTGGTTACTGTATTGACATGTGTAATTACAATCTCTTAAGATATTTATGGGTTCCCTGTGTCTGGCTCTGGATCTCCCTGGTGCCTCAAGCAGAATTGCAGATCTGCACTGTTGGGGCCCCTCTCACAAGGGCAACACTGCAGAAGACAGGAGGGCGGCTGTGGGGAAGGCCAAGTCACAGTGCCTGCAGGGGGTGTGAGCTGGGGAGTCCTGGGCCTGGCCTGAGGGGGTGTGGGCGCTGGTTGCCTGTAAGTGGCATCTGTCCGGGCACCTGTCCTGCCATGAACTGTAGGGTTATGGGCCATCGAGGAGCCCCCCGTGACCATGGCTCCTTTTCATAAGTTGGTGTTCTGACCCAGTTATAACTTGAGTTCCTATGTAAACATTCCAGAATTCTCCAGAATAAAGGGAGAGTGTTCCTTAGGCTCAAGCTCGAGTGTCCCAGTGCTCCATCCAGGGCTCTCGCCGTGGCGGCAGGCCGGGGACCGTTCCTCACCAAGCTCTCAAGTCGCTGGTGCTCAGGGTACCGCGGGTTCTTGGCTGCTCCGCTGGGAAATGACCGACTGGGGCAGAGGGTGCAGAGAGGAGGGAACGGGAACTGACCCAGTAGCCTTGCACCGGTGAGCCTTGCCCTGTGAGGGGAGAAGGACCTAATGTGAAACACTAGTGACAGTGGGGGCGGAAGGGGACCGCGTGATACTCTCAGCAGTAAAGGTTAAAAAGATAGAAATACCTGGGGATATAAATGCATGATGCATTTTTAGGTTCTTGGTCCAGAATTTCCATAGAGCTGCGACAAGGCTTCAGCCTGTGCCCTCCTTCCCCGCCCCGCCCCGCCCCGCCGCTGCGCTCCCCTGGTTCGGGGGACTCTCCCAGCCTTTCCACTCGGGAGCTGCGGGTGTGGAGCCTTCAGGAAGACTCAGATGGACTCCTGTGAAGTCAAGCACTGGGAACGCCACGGGGAAGAAAGACCGTCAGTCATTTCCAGCAGTACACATTGGGTGTTTTTTCTGTCATTTCTTTTTGAGTGCTCAACCTGATTTACAGAAGAACACATTTAAGTTGCTTGGGTTGAGAAGTAACAATACAGAAATTTAACCCTGGAAAAAAAAGGAGAAACTTGTCAAAACTCATCTGTTCCAATTGTTTATCACATGTAGTTCCTTGGTATTAGTAACAATATTGTTCTATTGGAAAGCATGGTCTATTTCATCATTATTTTTTGGGGGGAAATATGGAAGAACTGATTTGTTGAAACACCAACCATTCCGTCCTAGGGATTGTGCAGAACAGTGGTGCCAATTATCTTTTTTTCCTCTGTTTTTCAGGGTCGACATGTTAAAACAGGTCAGCTGGCGGCCATCAAAGTTATGGACGTTACTGAGGTAAGATGGGGTCACAAACATACTTAGCTATATTGGGAGGAGGCAGTCAGGGACTGCTGCCCCTGCCAGTGGAAGAGCATTGTTCTGTTTGGAGAATCATCTTGAGCAAATTGCCCTCCTGTGACAATGTGACCACATTGTAGGTTCATAAGACCCAGCATAATAGTGGGCTAAGTGGTTGCAGATGGTCTCAAAGTAACTAACAGTAGCATCTTCTTAAAAAAAACAAAACACAAAACAAAATAAAAACACCTCTGAATGATGTCATCCTTGGCAACATAATGGACCATAATAGGAAACATCTTCTAGTGGAAAAGATGAGATTTGAGAGGGGATGGGAAAGTCACATAAATGGGAGAGTCAGGGAGGGGGAGGGGAGCTTCTCTGAGGCCACACTTGGGCCATTTCTTTATTTTTAACATGGGGAAGAAAACAGGGCCAGCCAGTTCCCAGAGGTTTGAAAACAGAAACATCTGCTAGAATGCTGAGCAGACTGTTGGCAAAATTTAGTAGCAAAAAATAGTTCTTAAAATGGTCACGTGGGGTTTACTGTGTGGTTCTAGGTGGAAGGGGAAGTCAGCCCCTCAGTGTGTGCCGGTGTGCATGCATGTGCTGAGTCATAGTGTTTGGACTGTGCCATTTCACTTATATGCAGATTTTTCCCCCCAATAAATGTTGTTAAAGTACTTCCTTATGGTTTTCTTAGTATCTTTTCTGTTGCTTACTTGGTTGTAAGACGACAGTAGGTAACACACACAGTACACAGAGTATGTGCTAATTAAGGCTTCTGGTCAACAGTAGGCGATTAGCAGTTAAGTTTTTGGGGAGTCAAAAATTATAAGCAATTTTCAGTGGTCATCACCCCTAACCTGTTGTCCCCCATGTTGTTCAAGGGTCAGCTGCATTTTCACCAGAAATTTACTTCACACTCTCATTATTTCTTATAACTTGTTTAATCTGAATAAGATTTACCATCTTATATCATAGATTATAGGGAGCGTTAACCAGCAGCTTTGGGGGCTTGGGTGTTTTTAAATCAAGCCCCAATCTCCCCAGTCTGGGGTCTATGGAGGGAGGCGTGGCAGGTGCACTAGCACAGTGAGTGGTCTGAGAGCCCCCCGCCACCCTGCTCTCCAGTGTGTGTGGGGAGCGGTGGAGAGCACCGTGGTCTCGGTTGCCGGCAGTGACAGAGCTTTCCAGTGTGAGGTGTGGCTCTGTGAGTGACTGCTCTTTTCTCTGCCACATAGGACACGGAGACTTGCAGTGGAAAAGTGCTGCTGTGTGATTGATTGGCCAGAGGTTCTTGTGGCACTGACTGCTGTGCAGGGTCCGGGAGCACACGGGGATGTGGCTGTGTGCTGTGGGCAGGGTCCGGGGAGCACACGGGGATGTGGCTGTGTGCTGTGGGCAGGGTCCAGGGAGCACACGGGGATGTGGCTGTGGGCAGGGTCCGGGGAGCACACGGGGATGTGGCTGTGTGCTGTGGGCAGGGTCCGGGAGCACACGGGGATGTGGCTGTGTGCTGTGGGCAGGGTCCGGGGAGCACACGGGGATGTGGCTGTGTGCTGTGGGCAGGGTCCGGGGAGCACACGGGGATGTGGCTGTGTGTTCTGGGCAGGGTCCGGGAGCACACTGGGATGTGGCTGTGTGTTCTGGGCAGGGTCTGGGGAGCACACGGGGATGTGGCTGTGGGCAGGGTCTGGGGAGCACACGGGGATGTGGCTGTGTGCTGTGGGCAGGGTCCGGGAGCACACGGGGATGTGGCTGTGTGTTCTGGGCAGGGTCCGGGAGCACACTGGGATGTGGCTGTGTGTTCTGGGCAGGGTCTGGGGAGCACACGGGGATGTGGCTGTGTGCTGTGGGCAGGGTCCGGGGAGCACACGGGGATGTGGCTGTGTGCTGTGGGCAGGGTCCGGGAGCACACGGGGATGTGGCTGTGTGCTGTGGGCAGGGTCCAGTAGCACATGGGGATGTGGCTGTGTGCTGTGGGCAGGGTCCGGGGAGCACACGGGGATGTGGCTGTGTGCTGTGGGCAGGGTCCGGGAGCACACGGGGATGTGGCTGTGTGCTGTGGGCAGGGTCCAGTAGCACACGGGGATGTGGCTGTGTGCTGTGGGCAGGGTCCAGGGAGCACACGGGGATGTGGCTGTGTGCTGTGTGCTGTGGGCAGGGTCCGGGAGCACACGGGGATGTGGCTGTGTGCTGTGTGCTGTGTGCAGGGTCTTGGGAGCACACGGGGATGTGGCTGTGTGCTGTGGGCAGGGTCCAGGGAGCACACGGGGATGTGGCTGTGTGCAGGGTCCGGGGAGCACACGGGGATGTGGCTGTGTGCTGTGGGCAGGGTCCGGGAGCACACGGGGATGTGGCTGTGTGCTGTGGGCAGCGTCCGGGGAGCACACGGGGATGTGGCTGTGTGCTGTGGGCAGGGTCCAGTAGCACACGGGGATGTGGCTGTGTGCTGTGGGCAGGGTCCGGGGAGCACACGGGGATGTGACTGTGTGCTTTGGGCAGGGTCCGAGAGCACACGGGGACGTGGCTGTGTGCTGTGGGCAGGGTCCGGGGAGCACACGGGGATGTGGCTGTGTGCTGTGGGCAGGGTCCAGTAGCACACGGGGATGTGGCTGTGTGCAGGGTCCGGGGAGCACACGGGATGTGGCTGTGTGCTGTGGGCAGGGTCCAGTAGCACATGGGGATGTGGCTGTGTGCTGTGGGCAGGGTCCGGGGAGCACACGGGGATGTGGCTGTGTGCAGGGTCCGGGGAGCACACGGGGATGTGGCTGTGTGCAGGGTCCGGGGAGCACACGGGGATGTGGCTGTGTGCTGTGGGCAGGGTTCGGGGAGCACACGGGGATGTGGCTGTGTGCTGTGGGCAGGGTCCGGGAGCACACGGGGATGTGGCTGTGTGCTGTGGGCAGGGTCCGGGAGCACACGGGGATGTGGCTGTGTGCTGTGGGCAGGGTCCAGTAGCACACGGGGATGTGGCTGTGTGCTGTGGGCAGGGTCCGGGGAGCACACGGGGACGTGGCTGTGTGCTGTGGGCAGGGTCCGGGAGCACACGAGGATGTGGCTGTGTGCTGTGGGCAGGGTCCGGAAGCACACGGGGATGTGGCTGTGTGCTGTGGGCAGGGTCTGGGAGCACACGGGGATGTGGCTGTGTGCTGTGGGCAGTGTCCGGGGAGCACACGGGGACGTGGCTGTGTGCTGTGGGCAGGGTCCGGGGAGCACACGGGGATGTGGCTGTGTGTTCTGGGCAGGGTCCGGGAGCACACGGGGATGTGGCTGAGTGCTGTGCAGGGTCCAGTAGCACAAGAGGATGTGGCTGTTTGCTGTTGGCAGGGTCCTTACTCGTGTACAGTTTGTGGGAGATGGATGCTTTCCAGTAGATATGACTTTTAAGATAAAGAGCAGTAAAGGAGCAGCCAATTCTGACTGTAATTTAAGTAAAATGTCGAGTTGTCTTGTGCGGGGCTCACAGTGACTAGGATGACCATCTCCTGACCCCTTTCCATGCCCGGCGCTGACACCGCCCTGGGAGGCCATGAGGCTACAGGCCGTGCTCCGTGACATTTGTTTACACACTTCTGGCAAACTGATGGGTGCCTCATAACTGTCACCTTGCGCAGTTTTTGAAGCATTTGTAATTCAGAGGGCTGGTGTTTTCCGCACTTCTCGGGGCTGCCTGGCCAGCTCCTTCCCCTCGCAGGGAGGCGGGTCTTTCCTGTAGACGTCCTCCTTGCCAGGCCTGGCTCTGGTTATATATGTGCAGGACATGGTCACTGTTTAAAAATGTGTAAAACATAAGAGCATGTCAAGGAGAGTTAAATTCTTACTCTTCCTCCTCCTCTCCCCCTCACATAACCACTGGGGTGCTCGGCTGGCTTCCTATTGTCCATCTGTGAGCAGAGCTCCAAACCTCACAGCTGTGTGCAGCAGACACTTTGTCCACAGCTGCTGAGTTATATACAAAAAAAAAAAACAGGCCATGTTGGAAAGTGCATTTTCAGGACTCCTTGAAACATAATCATGCACAAACCATGTGTGGGGTGAAATGGACACCAAATGGCGAGTCTTGAAAACAAATGCAAACTCAATCAAGCATCTACTGTTCTGGCCGCTCCGTCCTGTGTCCACGCAGAGACCTCTGTGCTATTGCTTGGGCAGAGTGGGTAGAGGACAGCGTGCAGCTGGCACCCCAGGAAACATGCCCTTGCCTGACCCCCATGGGAGGCCTCTTGGCGGTCCTTTGAAGTTAGTTGTAGGCATTGGCCTGGGTCAGACCTGGGAGCAAATTCCTGTCGACTGAAATCTTTCTGCTTTCAACTTCAGCAGGAGGAGAGCAGGATTCTACGTAGTTTTTGACTTCTCAATTTTTTCTAGGGAGCAAAAAGTTGTGAATGCTTATTTTTGGGAAAAATCACTAACTCTTGAGTCAGTTCCTTAAGTGAAATCAATAGGCAGTTACCATGCCAAAACCGGTTTGGTTCAGTGGATAGAGCGTCGGTCTGTGGACGGAAAGGTCCCAGGTTCGATTTCGGTCCATCGCCAGTAGGGGTGTGCAGGAGGCAGCTGGTTGATGTTTCTCTCTCATCGATGTTTCTAGCTCTCTATCTCTCTCCCTCTCCCTTCCTCTCTGTAAAAAATCAATAATAAAATATTGGGGGGGGGGGGGCGGCGGAAAGAGACAGTTACCAGGCCCCTCTTGTTCCTTAGGCTCTGAAGACCGGAGGAGAGCGGTGTGGGGGGTGAGTGTGGGGCCCCTCTCAGAACAGCGCGGCTTCAGCAGTCCCAAGTGGATGTGCTCCCTAGTGGCCGCCCCTCACCTGCTTTGATTATGGACCTGGACCTGGAATACAAAGCCAGCAGAACATTCATAACTCCCCTTGGGGATAGGTGTTAGGGACTGTAGGAAGCCAAGGGATTTAAAAAGAGAGGCATTTATTTGCAAGAGATGTAAAAATCCTATATAATATATGGCTAATAGGCAAATCGTCCCCTTGGGA